GTGAATGCCAGACCAACAATACCAGGAGACAGGTAATTACGCAGATACACGAGTCCCGACACCACTAGAAAGATGACGCCACAGCCCAGAAGCTGCATGCGAACCTGAAACCATTGCGACGTGACAGTCTCAGCAAACCAAGCCTTGCTGTTCACATCATTGCGAATAAAGTTCTCCGTGATCATGCGGTCAACGGTGTCCTGACCGAACGCGCGAATCACCACAACTCCCTCTTCCGACTGCGTCACGTGGCTCAATACAGGAGACGATGACACTTTCCATAGCCGTGAAATCTCTCGAGACGGTGCAAGATAAAAGTTGGCAATCTTCACATACATCCACACCAGTGGGATGATCAGGAACCCCAAGAAGTTCATGGTGTACACAGCAGTCGCTAGTTGGCACACCGTGAAGAAGAACATGGCGAGGAATCCTCCAAATGCGAACGGAATCATGAAGTCCACAGCAGACATATCGTCACCGTATCGGTTCACAATACGTCCGATCGGGTTCGCATCGAAAAAGCGGAGTGGGGCTCTCAACAGAGACACCGTCATGTTGTCAAAGAGGTGACGCGAGGCTCGGAGACCTACAACTGCTACTGTAGCTGACCGGACGAAAACCATGACGGCTGCACCCGCGCCAAGCAACGAATACACCTTGACGTTGTATGCAGTCTCGTTCTGATCATACGAGCCGCTCTTCTGACCCGTCCAATGGCTCAACCACAGATCACTGCCAATCTGGAAAACCTGCCACAAAGTCTGCACGGCGAACAAGAAAACGCACACTTTGACACCGCCTAAGGAGTTGAAGTAATTCGCGAATACCTCCTTGGACACTCGGCCCTCTTCACGCTCCTCGTCATCAACGAGTCTGCCGGCGTCGTTCTTTCCGTTATCTACGTCATGACTGGCTTCTGCCATCGTAGAACGAGATGTCGGCAGTCTAAACGAGCTACGTGGTAGAGCCACGTCTTGTCGAGTAGCCGTCAGTTTGCCGCCTTCTACCAGCACCTTCAAGTTGGCAGCTTTACAGGCAATGATGTCAGCGCTATGTGTCACCAATACGACCGTCTTCTCCGCCAGCAGATTGCAGATGCAGTCACCGAATATTTGACTCTGCACGATCGCATCGACAGCCGCCAATGGCGAATCCAGTAAGTAGATGTCAGCGTCTGAGTAACACGCACGAGCAAGACAGACTCGCGCTTTCTGTCCGCCAGACAAGTTGACACCCTTCTGGCCAATCTCCGTCAAATCGCCACCAGGGAATTGTTTCAGGTCTGGAAGTAGACCACACGCAGCGACCACTTTGGAGTACTTCTCCTTATCATACGGTAGTCCGAACAGGATATTGTCACGGATCGTCATGTTCTGGATCCACGTCTGCTGCGAGTAGTAGGCGACACGACCGCGTACGAACACGCTACCTGCTAGTTTGTCCATCTCTCCCAATAAAGCTGAGCACAAGGAGGACTTGCCACTTCCGACAGATCCATGAACGATCACCAGGTCTCCCTTCTTCACAGTGAGGTTAACCTGGCTGAGTAGTGGTGTATCCTTCGTCCATCCGAAAGTGCCGTCTTCAATTGTCATCACAACATCATCAGGCTGGGCCGGGTCGTGTCGGGTAACGTTTGCAGGAGTGAACTCATCCAGTGCAAGATAATCGGAGAACCGGTCGAGTGAAACCTTGGCTTGAATGCACGTCTGGATAACCGTAGGCAAGTCGCGAAGTGGGTCTCGGAGAGCGTTGAACAGCGCAATAGCAGTAAACACTTTCGCTGCCGTCAGCGTCTTCTCCATCACAATCGCGTACACAGCAAAAGACACGGCCGACACGGCAATAGGAGAAGCCCACAGCACGAAAATGTTCAGAGCCCCCAGGTACATAAACTTCTTGACGGCTGAGAGCTCCGTAGCGCGCAGTTTGTGGATCTTGTCGGCGAATTTTTCTTCCCACGCGTTGAGTTTGACGATCTGGATGGCATTGAACACTTCCTTGATGGTCTTCATCCGGTCGTCCTTGTGCGTCATAATGTCTTCGAACGTGTTTCCCGATACTTTAGCGATAATAAAACCCACCAGCATCGACACTGCAATGACTGCCAGTCCGGCAAACGCTGCGAGGTCAATGACGGCGTACAACATGTAGACTACTACCACAATCTGAAGCGGAATAACCCACAGACTGTTGATCTGGAAGGCAGCCCACAGCACGTTGTCAACATCCGAAGAAAAGAGGTTGGAGATGTCCACGGACTTGGATTCGCCTTTGCTCTGTATACTACGACGCATGGCCTTCCTGAACAGTAGCGCCTTGAGTGTCACCGTTAGACGTAGCGCGATTAATTCGAGGTAAAAATGCATTTGCGATATCACGATTGCGTTCACAAGTCTCGAGGCGAAGAAGACGCCGAGCCAGATGCAGAGGTTGGGCATATCGATCTGCGGTGCTGCAAACACCGTGACGACGTGGTTCAGGACAGCTGGAGCGAAGACGTTGCAACCGGTTGAGAAGAGTGTTGCCAGTCCGCAGAGGAAGAATCTCCCTCCGTAGGCTGTCATCATGGCCTTGACGATGGACTTGTCGTGGCGCTCGTAGTGCACCACGAACTCGTCGAAGGCTGTGGCTGAGCGGTTCTCTCCCTCGAGTTCCCATAGGTCGTCGTTGTCCAGTTGGCGCGTGTTGCCGGCGCGCATCATGGGGTTGGCGTACGAGAAGAAGAGACGCGACCAGAGTGACGCCGTGCCCGGTGTGGAGTGCGCAGTGCGCAGCTTCTGCTTGCTCTGATCGAGATCATCGTTAACGCTGGCGAATGTGGAGTAGCGCGGCTGTTTGGTCTTGGTGGCGGGGGACACGAGCGACTCGGCGTCGGACTGCAGCACTACCGTCATAACGGCGCTGCGTCACGCGAGACTGGGCTTGAGCTCTCAGGTGCCAATCGGTGACTGACTGACGACCAACGGACAGCGCGGTAGGATTATGCGACGCATCTGTCCTTTTTAGCACATCTGGAAGGTGACACAAGGACCAACACTCTCTCTTCCCAGTTGCAACGATTGCCAATCACGTGTTCAAAAGTACCAGTCTGTTGACCGTCTCCGCAAAGAACGATGCGAGCATCCTCGCTGTGGACGAAGCTGAAAATTGGCCGTCAAAATTGGTTGGCCTGAAAGGGAGATAAGTCACAGGATCCAAACCGTGACTCGTGTCAATGACGAACGAATTGACTGAGCTCAGTAAGCACTGCTTACGAACCAGGCCCAAGAACAGATCATAAGGCTTTTCACTGCTGGTGTTCCAGATTCCAGATTGTATATGTCGTTACATATAGAGTTTTTTTTTTTTCTCACTCAGCGAGCAGATATTTAAAACGAAGTGTATTGCACTATCGTTTATGACATTCACCGATAGGGCAAAGGAGTCGTGCACGGTGTATATATGTTACCGAGAAAGGTATAAAGTCGTTGATTTTCATTGAACACCCTCGTGAGATCTTCATGAAAGAAAGCAACCTACCCACCAGTGAATCTCTACAGTAAACTATTCTACGGCCTAACTCTCGAGCACGACGCGGTAGCGGACGCTGCCGTCACGAACCTTGTCCAGCCCCTTGTTCACCTCGCTCATCGGCATCTTCTCGATGATCGGCCGCACGTTGTTCTTCGCCGCCACGTTAAGCATGTCCTTGATGTCCTGGATGCTGCCGATAGCGCTGCCTCGTACACGGGTAGCACGAGGAACCAGGAACCACGGCGTGATCTTGACCTGATCAGGAGGAAGACCCACCATGATGAACGTGCCGCGCTTGCGAACCAGGCTCAGGTACAGATCGTACGGCATGTCCTTGGCATCAGCGGTAAGCAGGAGGAAGTCGACGCTCCCAGCAGCTTTCTTCTGGTGCTCCAGGTTGCTCAAGTCGTAAAACTCTTCGGCTCCTAGAGAACGGATCTCCTTCTCCTTCTTCGACGAACGAGAGAAGGCGACGGGGACGGCACCCAGTGCACGGATGAACTGGATGGCGATGTGGCCTAGACCACCGATGCCGATCACACCCACGCGGTCACCCGCCTTAACGCCCTCTTGCTTCAGCGGCGTGAACACCGTCGCACCAGCGCACATGAGCGGAGCGGCGGCGTCCGACGGCAGAGCGTCTGGAATCTTGAAGGCGTAGTTGTTGTCCACGCGGATGAAGTCCGCGAAGCCGCCCTGTTGACGGGAGCCGTCCTTGTAGGCGGCGTTGATAGTGAAAACGCCCTGATCGCACACGGCGTCCTCGCCGTCAGCGCAGTCGCGGCAGTGATCATTCGGATCGCGGTTTAGACACGCCCATGCCTGCGCACCAACACCGACGCGGTCACCAACGGCGAGGCTCTTGACACTCAGACCGACTGCAACGACGTTGCCAACAATCTCGTGTCCAGCGACGCACGGGTACGGCGTGGGGCCCCATCCGCTGTCAACGGTATGTACGTCGGAGCCGCAGATACCGCAGTGAGTGACCTTGATCTCGACGTCCTCGGCACCGAGTGGGCGCGGCTCGAACTGCCAGGGCTTGCACTCGCCGGTCTTATCGAAGGCAGCGTAACCGCTGAAAGTTCTCGGAGCAGCAGACATGTCTGGTAGCGGAAGAAGTAGCTTGATGGTGCTTGGTTGAGAGTGAATTCGCAAATGAGCTAACTGACGACCGACCCTAGCCTACTGGCGTGCTGCATTGTGCTGAGAGCTACTGCCGATTCCTCAACCATGTCCCAGTGTTATACTTTTCAATCAAAATAGACCCGGGGCGCGCACAATATTTTTTGCTGCAGATGTTGGGGGGGGGGCGCACAATCTCCTTCACGACATCATCGATGATGATGAAGGTGGATAAAATGCATCATCGTTGGTTTATTACCTAAAAAAAATCTGTATTAGTATTATTACATCTACTATTATACTAGGGTACTGGTACATCTGAGTCAACGAAGCAGATTTGATCAACAGTAAATCTAACGATAGAAAACAGGTACCTAAGATGATGTCCCTTAAGGACTGAGCCCACAATCACACCATCGACATAATCACCGATGACGGCGTCTCGCATCCATGGGTCATGCTTGAAACCAACCACATTTTACATTTCGCCTTGAATCGGCTATACCCACAGGCGATCCTTCTAAAGTGATGGCTGCTCCAAGAACTGTTAGCGCCTACGCTGCCTTCGAGCCATCGGGCAACATCGTACCGTACCAGTACGAGTCTCGTCCGCTTGGTCCTGAAGACGTCGAGATCAAGATCTCACACTGTGGCATCTGCGCCTCGGATATCCACCACCTCAACAGCGACAGAAGGCCTACAATGTACCCGTGCGTGGCTGGCCACGAAGTCATTGGTGAGGTGACTGTAGCTGGCCTCAGTGTGAAGAACCTGGCGGTGGGCGACCGCGTCGGTGTTGGTGCACACGTCTGGTCGTGCCTCAATAGGGACCCCAAAAGGCCCTGCGAGGACTGCGCCGACGGAGAGGTTGCCTACTGTGAGCACACGGTGATCGCATTCAATGCGAAGTATGAGGACGGGGCGATGGCGTATGGCGGCTTCGCTGAGTACGTTCGAGTCGACAGCAACTTCGCGTTCAAGATCCCCGACAACATTCCGTCCGCTTCCGCTGCGCCGTTGCTGTGTGCTGGTGTGACTGTCTTCACGCCACTAAGGCGCTACGTGAAGCCTGGCGATCATGTGGGTGTCATCGGTATCGGTGGGCTGGGCCATCTCGCCATCCAGTTCATCCGTGCGTTAGGTGCTACCCCAGTTGCATTCTCGCGCTCGGCCGACAAGGAGGAGGAGACGCGTGCTCTCGGTGCCGAGGAATTCTACAACTTGAGTGACCCCGAGGATCAGAAGAAGGCCGAAAAGTCTGTCAACGTGTTGCTGCTGACGGCTGATGCCCCTAACATGCCTTACAACACGTACTTGACGCTGGTGAAGAAGCGCGGCACGTTCATCATGGTTGGTGTCCCCAATGACGAGGTCAAGTTTAAGCCAATGTTTGTGGTGGCCAAAGGCATCAAGTGGGTGGGCAGTCTCGTTGGTTCCCTGCAGGACACCAAGGATATGTTGACACTTGCGTCGGAGAAGAACGTGCGTGCCATCGTCCAGCAGATGCCCATGAGCAAGGTGAACGAAGGCGTCGCGATGATGCGCGAGGGGCGTGCTCGTTACCGCGTAGTGCTTGAGAACTAGGACAGTAGTCGTCTTAGGTAATATCATTTTGAGATGGATGATGTTCAATTTGAATAAATGACGGGTAATTTACTCCTACCTTTAAAAATGTTTTGTGCATACTGGAGTTTGTACCGTTTTCTGACAATTATTGCTTTATGCACTTAAAATGATTTGTTTCGAAATGAAATTTGCTTCTCCCACCATTGCGAGCAAAATAAATGACCGTGCGATGTGCCTTGATTGGTCAAAAATATGCAGACATAAAAAATCATTGATATACTGTACAATTCCTTTGTCAGCACCACTGTGTGTACATATGAGGTAGGGGACTATAAGGGACGACAGTTTGGGTAGTACAATAAGGGACGACAATTTGGGTAGTACAATAAGGGACGACGGATACTCGAGACACTCCTCCAAAGGAAAGAGGCCTTCACTTCAACTTTTGCTGCTAAGACCAACACGTGACGAAGGCGCTAATGGATCTGCCAACCACAAGTCGACTCTACCAAGCTGCTATCGCCGCAGCCCGTTTTGCGGATCAAAGACTCGAGAGCCGGACGCGTAGCGACTACAGCAGCAGTCTTCGGCGATTCTCATCGTTTTGTAAAAGCGAAGGCTACCCAGACCCACTGAAGGAACGATTTGTGGAGTTACCCGGTGTGGTTGCCGCGTATATCAACTTACTCGCCACCTCCAACTCAAGTCAATGGCCAGCTGAAAAGCTTCGCGCTGCGCTTAGCTGGCACTACACAAAACCTGAGATGCTAGCGGGTGGCCACCCACACGATCGTTGAGTTGTTGAGACTTCTCCGGACGGCACCCCAGTACCTCGAGGAAACCCTGCACGCTCAGCAGCCATCACGCAGATTCTTGCCGGTCTCAGCAAGTCCAAGAAACGCGAGCGAACTCCAAAGCGTGCGTCCCCAATGTCCTTATTGATGCTGACAAAGATCATCACATTCTTGGAGTCGAATTCGATGTTCAACGATACCATGCGGTTGTGGTTTTCTGCGGTTTGTTCCCTCAGCTTCTATGGCATGTGCCGTATCAACGAAGTCTTGCTTATGAAAAAGGGTGACATTCAGCTTGGCCTCGAACGAAAATCGCGCGTTGATGACAGCAACATTGAGTTTGGCTGTTTCACTATTCGTGATCGGAAGACAGATCATGATCCCCTCGCGAATCGAACCTACTCACTCCATCATCTCTCAAATGAAGAACGGGCAGCTGAAGCATTGACTTTCTTGGATAGATGGTTTACGTACGCGCGGAAGAAGCTTCACCACACCTGGCGTGACAGCGACTATGCGTTTCCATCATTGACAAAGGTACCACGCGGCGCGTCCAAGAAGCGAAGGAGGAAGACTGGGGTTTTGGCGGGCGGCTACTCATTTGCTACCGTGGGAATAAAGTGGGGTTCGCCAATGTCAGATAGCAACTTTACTCAGGTATTGAACATTATCGCTGAGGCCGCTGGAATCAGCCGAAACCTTCTTGGTGATGAGATTTGGCTTACATCCGACTGTTTCCGTCGAGGCGGTGCACAGTACCGGTTCATGTTTGCCCCTGAAGATCGACGGTGGTCACTAAAGCTCGTGAAGTGGTGGGCAGGGTGGGCACCAAGCGAAAAGTCCGAAACTGTAACTAGGTATCTGCTCGACGACGTACTGGATCGAGAAGAGAACCAGTTGGGTGACTCGTTGGCTCCGGACGCGGTGTCATGCAGTAG